GTTTTGACTAAAGGAAATCGTGAGCACGTGTTTAGCTGAAAAGTATATTTGCTAATTTCGTTTATCTTTTTTTATTTTCAGGTGCATTTTCCCCAACATGGAAAATAAATTTAGCAGAGAATTCTTAAGTGAAGTAATAGAACTGTATAGAAGTTTCCCGTGTTTGTGGAAAATAAAAAGCAAAGAAGGGTCGCTGTAAGCCTCTCATGGGGTGAAATTGCTTTCCGCATGACGGTATCTTGTCTTTTAATTAATGGAGTCAATAGTGTTAACAATTCTGAGTAAGTTTGCTCATCCATTCTCAAGTAATTGAAATAATCAACAGGTTCCAAGCGAAGTTCATTTAACAATCCTTCATACGATAAGCTATCCCTCTTCAAAAGCCATGGCTTGCACCATCTTGACTTTTTTTTCTTTTTTCTTTGTAATGTAAGTGCCAGCGCTACATGTACTAAATCGTCCGATGAAAAACAATCAGAGAGAGACATCTTTCTGATTCAAAACGTTGTGAAAACTGAGCAAAAGAATGTAACGTGAGTGGCCTACCCACTCGGGCATAGGTTTGTGCAGTTGACCATACCATAACCCTACCATTGCTAAAGACTGTAGCGTGAATGGGGGGCTTTATGGACCGAGTCAGTTAGGATTACCATAGATAGTGAAGTGACCTAGGGTCTTTGTCAGATGTACATGAGTCTTAAACAAAACCAAATTTACCCAACTTATCCTGCTGTAAAATTCATGGGAACAATCCAGGTCTTCCTGGATCTTATCCTACCAGCCCATGGGCGGTTCAAAACCAGAACAGGGCCAGACAGACCACGCTGAGAAACTGGGGCTGTATGATATTGAATAGCACCTCGTTAGGCAGAGGCTTCTGAGCTGAAGCATTAATAACAGTAATGTTATTATCACGTGACTGTCTACACTAAACAGCATTTAAAGACAAGTGTGGATAAACACATTTTTCCTGCACGCTAGAGGGTAATTTCTGCTGTCTCGTGCTTTTTGACATTTATTCTTTAACTGACCAGTGTGGTCTCTCCAATTAAGTCTACTATCAAAAGGTAGCCCAAGAAATTTAGCAGAATTTTGAATTGGTATTGGCCATATCGCCATGTCATGTCGTAGGCTTTTTCTATATCTAAAAATACTGAAATCAAACAATCTTTCTTGGCAATTGCCTCTTGAATATGACTGTCCAGCTTTACTAGTTGATCGAGAGTTTGGCATCCCTTTCGGAAACCGCACTGCTCGTCAACTAGTAAATGACTGGAATTTAAAAAATGCAATAGCCTACTGTTAACTGTTCCATGACCTTGCATAAGCAACTTGTCAACGCAATTGGGCGGTAGGAGATGGCAAGTTTGGGATTACCCCCTCCTTTCAATATGGGAATGATGTGGGCGAAGTGCCATGAGTTTGGAAAAGTGTGGCTTTTCCAAATTTCATTGTACACTTCTAGCAACTTAATCATGTCACCATGATTAAGATGCTTCATCATCTCATATCGAATCTCTACAGGCTTCTAGGGCTCGGACAAGCTCTTCTATCGTTAGATCTTTATTGTAATCAAGGTCATCTCCTGTGGCAAAGTGAATAGGTTGCAGCTCAGCCGCTTCCTTGATGGGCAGGAATGCGGGATGGTAGTTTGCTGAGCTGCTTGTATGAGAGAACTGCCTGGCGAGTGCATTAGCAATGTCTCTAGGTGAATCTAAATTGTTACCTTCGTCAATGATGTTTTTAATTTTAAAATATGTTTTTTTCTTATTGATTTTATTGATAGTGGACCAAACCTCAGATGTTTTTGTGTTGCTGTTTATTGTAGAGACAAAGCTCCGCCAGGAGTCTCTTTTAGCTTGTCTAATTACTCTACGAGCCCTAGCTCTTGCTAGTTTGTAATTGCAAAAGTTCTCATTTGTGATGTTATTTGTGTGTCGGCACAGCGCCCTGCGGCAATCTGGTGTCCACCATGGAACTCTATGCTTAACGCTATCTGTCGAAGTTTTAGGAATGGATAGCAAAGCTGCTTCTATAATCGAATTCTGAAAATTGCTTACTTTATCATCAATGGTTTCTCCAACTAGTTCGAGCTTGACGCTCCTAGTGAAGGCGACCCAGTCTGCTCTTTTTACCTTAAATTTAGGCGCTGAAGGCGTTCTCACTGTGTCGCATGAATATTCAATCAAAATAGAAAGGTGATTGCTTCCCAACGAGTCGTCAATGGTGTGCCACAAGCACTTAGCTGCTACTGATGAAGAGACCAGTGATAGGTCAATAAAGCTCAAATTACCGGTATTATCGTCCACCCGCGGGGGAATACCATCGTTCAGGACTAAATCAGACTCATTAATCAGCTTAACTACTTGCTCACCTCTACCATCCACCCGCAGGGGACCCCATAACGTATGATGAGCATTGAAATCACCTAAAATTACTTTATTTTGTGGCAGACGTTCCTGAAGAGCAAAAAGCTCATCATAGATTATCACTGTATCAG